GTTGGAAGGAGCCTTAAAGATCATCTCAATCCAGCTCCCCTGCCATGGTCAAGGACAGCTTCCATTAGATCACGGGCCCCATCCAATCTGCTCTTGAATGCTTCCAGGGATAGCTCAACTCTTATGGCCTCACAGCTGAAGACAACTCATCCCCAAAACACCTTCTTTCATAGTGAAGTGCCCTCTGGATATAGCTTGTATTTATCAGGTATGCTTTATTTTATATAGAAAATCCCTATTTATTTTCAGATTCCTTTCAATAAGCTTTGAAAATAAACCCATTTTCGCTAAAGCATAATTTTCTACCCCTTTTCTTCATACTTCATAAACAGTAACCTTATCTTCACTTAATGGTGGAAGAAATTACCTTTCAAAAAGTTATTGAAACTAATGACTGCAATTTCATACTGCTCCACAAGTCATGGTGCTGTTTCTCCTTGCTCTAATGAGCAACTAACTGCAACTGTTTGTTTTGACTACATTAAGAAGCCATTTACAAGAAAAGGTTTCTCTTTAATAATCAAAGCAGAATTCCTTCACTGGGAATTGCTCTGAGATAGTCAAACATTAACGAAGAGATTAAGATCACTGCTTGTTTATTAAAAACAGGCACAAACAGTTAATTATGGAGCATATCAGAAATGCAAATAACCCTTCAAATGATGTCTTAGGTGAAAGGTAGCCACAGACTTAATTTAATTAAATAATTTAATTTATAGGGAAAGGAATTCAGTGTGGATTTTCATGAACTTGTATAGTTCAGACAGAGGTTACAGCAATGTTCTTTGTTTTAGGGGACATGGGTTAGTGGTGGAGTTTAATGTGTTAGGGTAATGGTGGCACACAAGAGATCTTTTCTAACCTGAATGATTCTATGATTCCACGATTTTCTGATGCTCCTGCATTATTTTTTCTTTGCATACCACAGTTGAAATTATGATTCTTCTTGTCACCTAAAGTCAGGCATTCCATTTTATGAAAAAGCATAAAATTGTGGGTACATAATTTTACATCACCAATAAAAAGAATCAATGTGTAATGGCAGTCACAGCTGCTTTTTCTTGACTTGTCTGGAAGAAATATTGTATCTTATCTCCACGCCTTTTATGAGAAAAAATGAAGAAAGAACCTCATTCCTTGGCTGTCCTTGGCTTTCTGCACTTTCAAACAATAACCCAATTTAACTTACAAAAATTAGATGGAAGACTTCTACAGTCTAATAAAGATTGGCATATAGCCAGTGACAATTTTTCTTAAATACTTTGTATTATTTGTAATTATATTTTCAGGTCAAGTTTTCAAAAATATTTGGAGTACTGAGAATTGGTAATGTGGTATTTCCGGGTAGAAAAAAAAGGAGATCAGGACACAAATCAATGTTCTCAGTAATTTCTTTAGTTATATGCCATGTAAAATATTTTTTTTTCTTAATGGTCACCCAGGAAAACAATTTTCCTGGCCTGTAAGGTAAACAAGTAGGCAAGCTGGTAGCAAATGACTATTGTTGGTTGCAGTACATGGGAGTGAGGCATAGTGGGTTGAAAAACTTACAAAAAAAGCCAATTGCAGCTTTCACTATTAAAGAATAATTCTGTTTCAAAATGGTAATGCATTCAAGTGGTGTGTAGACTACTGCAAAACACTGCAGAAGAGATGGAAATTTATATTCTTTCTGAGATTTGGTTTATCAGGAAACTTCAATGCTGTAATTCACCCTCCAAGTCTCTGTTGGTAATAATGCTACCAAAATTTATCCCACGCATACCATGTTCTTTAACTTGCCTGCTTCTGCACTGCTCTGGTCTCCATTTTCCCCTCTTTCATGCAGTGCAGAACATCAAAATAAAACAGCTAACACTAACTGTTTCTGAGCATTGCTCGGTCTCCCAGTGTTTGGAGGAATGAGCTAAAAAAGATGGTTTAAATACATGTTTTTAAGATAAGCTCCTGCAGTTTTTGAGCTTGTGCCTGTAGTCTGGAAATCCATGAAATTATGTTCACTACTTCTATGAATCCTTGTCCCAAAATTTATACAGTAGCTTAAAATCTTATGGTAGACACTTAGTGGGTCATAAGACAATTCAGCCAAGGAGCTAATTATACAAATTATAACTGTGAGATGGCATCTTCACCTTCCCTGCTCCTCTAGCTGCTCGTGCTTGGGTCCCACAGGCTCAGCCCACTGTCTGCTGCAGGCAGATACCATCACCAATCCACTCAGAAAGGCATTTCCAGAGTTTAAATTCAGGCTATGTCTGCATTAACTCAGCCCTGTAGGAGGGGTGCTGAGGGGAATGGAGTTTGTGCTGTTATGAGCTGTACATGAATGAGCAGAACATAATTTCCTCACAAGCCCAAAGCAGTCTTCAGTCATGGTATCTATTAAAAGACAGGAAGCTGAATTTTGTGGAGGTATAAAATATGTATGACAGCAGCTTGTGCACAACAAGCCTTGTTCCCTCTCTCCTTTTCATTGCTCAAAAATGAGAAGCACAAACTGGAACATAAGTCCTATGAGGAGCAGATGAGGGGGCTGGAGTGGTTTGGTCTGGAGAAGACTCAGGGGAGACCGTATTGTTCTCTACAACAGCCTGAAAGGCAATGGGGGTCAGTCTCTTCTGCCAGACAACTTGTGATAGGACAGAGGGAAATTACCTCAAGCTGAGTCAGGGAAGTTTCAGGTTGAATATAAGGAAAAAAAATTCTTCCCTGAAAGAGTGGGTTAGCATTGGAACAAGCTCCCTGGGGAAGTGGTGGAGTCACCATCCCTGGAAGAGTTCAGAAAACAAGCAGAAGTGTCACTCCACTGTATGGCTTAGTGGGCAAGGTGGTATTCAGCCCAAAGGTTGGACTTGATCTTGGAGGTCTTTTCCAGATTTTATGATTTCATGATTCTGTGAAAAGTCCCCAGCCACCAGTCTTGTCTTGTCTTTAGGGGAACACACCTTGCTAAAAATGCTTAGGAGTTTGAATGAAATGTGTTTGTTTTTGTGACTATATTTATGTTCACAGCATATTCCTGTTCATGCACCCTGACTCAATAGAACCTAGTGGTCAGTACTGAGGACGTGAGTGACCACACCACAGGGGCTCCTGGGCTGCAGCACAGCTCTCCTGGGATTTGACTGACCAAACTCACAGCTCACTCTTCCTAAATTTTACACATGATATGGATAAACTGTGGACCATGTGGTAGGTCACCAAGGCTTCCTGCATAACCTGTCAGTCCTGTGCCATGGAATTCTTTCTGCTCACATTTGGTTGGTCACTACCAAGGGACTGCCTAGCACAGACTTCAGCTTTCCCTCTGCTGAATTATTGCAAACTATGGGGGTTTTTGCCTCTGTTGCTGAAGACATCTAGTGGGAAGCAAACATTGCTAATGCTGTCAGTTCCCAAGGTTTTATTGTAAATCCTGTACATTTAATAAAAATAAAAAGCTATGTGCATCGGAAGATAAATACTGCCTCCTATTTATTTTGTATACTTACATATTTTATATCTTTTATTACTGCATAAATTCACAGATCTTACTTCATGAATTTACATAATCATTTCCAAAATATATTCTCAGTTTTCACAGATCCTATGAACCCGATAAGGGAAAGATTAAAAATACTTAATTTAAATTGAACTCATGAATTCCACTTATTTTATAGTCATTCTTGCCAGTGAGGTAGGAGTTTATTCACTATTTTATATCACCCTTATTTTGTTGTAATGCTATTTTAATAGGAGTGTCTTCTTGAAACATGCACAGTGATTTAATTAGCCCTATCCCAGCTAGGCACATACTGAGAGAGATCAGTGGCATGAAAAAAACCCTCATTATGGCCTGTGTACCTTTAAGTTCAGTCCCATTAAATAATGCTCTCTTGCAGATCTATGAAATCAATTAGGAAGCACTTGCAAAGATAGCCAAGGAGAAACTGTTTAAAGCCCTAATGGCTTAAATATCCCTTGTCTTGATGTTAGCCCTATAAAGCTATTAGAGCCCAGTCTGGATTGCATTAGCACCATGAAATTCAACTGCTAATCCTGTAACTGCACTGCCAGCCTCACCCCACCCTTGCCCATGCGTCTACGTGAATTGTTTCTAGAAGTGGTGAAAGAATCTTCAGTATTTTCTCGATGCTGAAGATGTATCAGGGAGAAGAAAATACTATTTTGTAAAAAAAAAAAGTAAATATAAAACATAGTTTATTCTGAACAGGAGTAGTTTGGATTTTTCGTTGTTTGTTATTGAGTGGTTTTTTGCCCCAAGAAAGTAAAATTCTAGCTGTCTTCACAGGAGGTTATTTCATTAGTATAAGACTACTCAGCCAGAAACTGCTGTAATTTGAGGACATTTCTAGAAATCGAAGGAAGTACAGGGGATTCTGGATATGCCAAGGGAAAACTACAGTGGAATATGTTGTAAAATAATACTGTTTCTTTCTTGAGGATTTTTCACAACAAGATGTTTTTCCAAACCTAGACGAAATTATTTATATATTCATTGATTTTCTTTATTTCTTTGTTCAGCTTTTGAGTTTGGGAGGGTTTTTTTTATGATTGTCTCAGATTTTGGTATAATTATTTGTGTTTTATAAAACTTGTCTAATAATTTTGCATTTTAATTGAACCAGACTTCCAGATTGAAGAATACTTTTTAAATTTATTTAAATACTTAAATACTTATTTAAATACTTATTTAAATACTTATTTTATTTATTAAAAAAAAAGAGAACTTTAAAGACATAAAATAATATTAAACTGGAAAATTTTCAGCAAGGAACCACATAGAAGAGACATGCTTTCAGATCAGATTGAGAATTTCCTCTGCTTTTCTGACACAAGCCCAATACTGGACACAAACCCTTACCCAAAAAGAGGTGAGCAATACTGATTATTAGGGAAAACCAGGTTTTGATCTCAATCCAGGCTCACCTGTTCTCCACACAGTCTCCTCCATCCTACCCCACCTGCAGTGATGCCACATTCCTCTGGGACCTGCTTACCTGTCTGTCCTGCAATCGTAGCAAACAGCCTGTGGGGAATCCTGGATGGGATCTTCAGTCCAGCTCTTATCTGGTAATACCTGGAGAGAAAGGATGAAAAATTACACATTGCTAGAGAATTGACCTCTTGATCCAGCCTGAAAATCTGTGAGAGCACATCCTGGGCATCTGCGCCCAAAAGTGCTCAAGAGAACAGGCATGTTAAGGAATTTTTCTTCTGCCTTTTAGCTTTAATTAAAGTGGGTTTAATCTGGCCCTTTCTATTTTACACCAGGCAGAGTGGTCACAATGCCTTGATGTGTGAATAATGAAGAAAGGTTGTGAAAAGCACTTGGCCTCATGTAGGAAAAGGAGACTTAGAGAAACATCTATGGAAAAATGCCCTGATATCAGACAAGGAGTGACAAAAAATTTAATATTAAACAAAAAAAAAAGCAAAAAAAAAAGCAAAAAAAAAAAACACAACAAAAAAAACCACAAAAAAACCCCACAAACAACAAAAATCATTGGTGGAAAGACAACAAAAGTGGTAATCTCACATCTAGGAACATTACTGCATATATTATGCATAATAGTTATAACTCTGCTGTTCCATGGTGAGTCTATCTTATCAAGAAAATGTTAGCCTTAATCATTTGCTCAGAGAAGTTGCGGAGTCTCCCACACTGAGATATTCCAGAACTTTCTGGACACAATCCTGTGCCATGTGCTCTGTCAGGTTGGATAAGATGGCCCACTGTGCTCCCTGCCATTCTGTGATTCTGTTAATCACATCTAAAGCAGCTGTATTCTGGTTGTTTTCTATCCCATAGGGCATCCCTGTGTTAGGTGCAGGAAGACAGAAAAAGAAAACATCACCAATTTCAGTGGTTTATGTTATACACAGAATCATAGAATATTCTGCATTGGAAGAGACCCATAAGGATCATCAAGGCCAACTTCTGGCCCTGCACAGGACACCCCAAAAATCCCTCCATGTGTCTGAGAGAATTGTCCAAATGCTTCTTGAACTCTGGCGGGTTTGGTGATGGGACCACTTCCCTGGGGAGCCTGTTCCAGTCCCCAAGACATGAGCTCAGTCTAAACAGAGGAAAAAACTCATCCTAGTCTTCCTTCATCACCACTTCCATGGATGAGGAATATGAGGCAGCGGGCAGTACAGTACCCAATCCAAGATTCTTCCACCTCTTTGCAGACCTCCCACCAACTTGCTCTAACACCATGCTGGCGTTACAAAAGTCTCCCTTTCTCTGGATTTTCCCTCCTTTGATCTCTTTATTTATAAAGTCCTTTAGCCCACTAATATTTACAAATAGTTTTGGCCTGATTTTTGCCCCAGCCTCTAAATGCAAGTCTTTTCCAACTGGAACCATTCCATAACTTTATGCAAACACCAAGTTATCTGTGAACTCCTGTATGAACATCTCAGGTTACACTTACCAATAAAATCTTTCCAAAGTGTATAATAGTGAATGAACTAGTTCTGTCTTTCTGGGGTTAAAAGCTGAAGAAAGGAGTTTGACGGGGAGAAAACAAAACAAAACAAAGCAAAAAAAATAAGCACCACTCCAGAGGCAAATGTTCCATGTCCTTCACACCTGAAAGCCCATGTTATCTACCTGCTTCAGCTGGCAGCTTCTTCCCAACTGGGATCTAATTCCAGCACAACCTTTGACATTTCTAGGTATCTGTTTCAGTCAAGAGTTTCAGCATGAAAACTCTCCGTTTACATGTTAGTTTTCAGAAAAGAAAATAAAAGCAGTTCATATTCCAAATACACATAGTATCCAGTTAACATAACAGCGATCAAATCTAAGCTACCTGATCTTTCTCTCTGTTATGCTGTTCTTGCACTATGCAGAAGTTTGTAATTGATGGTATTGATCCTGATTTTTTTCTAAAGTACAAGACTTATGCCTTAAGACCCTTTGAATCTTCATAAGTTTTATGCAATACAATTTTTTTACTGACAAAAATACTCTGTGTGGACTACTCATAAAGCCTAATAACTTCCAAATATCAGTAACAGGAAATTAAAGTGATATTACACATTAGTGTAACAGGACACTCCTCCATATACTGATACTTAAGATTTACCATGTGCCCATTCCACTAGATCAGCTCCAAAGAATAATGTTCTATAACTGTCTGGCCATTTCTTTTTAGATTTCTGCTGCTCAGAATTGTGGTGGGTTATCCTTGGCTAACAGCCAAACTCCCAACCACATGAGCTCTCCCTCCCCCTCATCAACAGAACAGCAGGAGAAAACTGGCTGAAAAATAGGATGGGATAAAGACAGGGAGATGGCTTACCAATTATTGCCACTAGCAAAATTGCTTCAACTTCTGGAAATTAATTTAATTCATTCACAATTGGGTAGTAAGAAACAAACTCAGACATTAAAATAAAACCTCTCTTCAGCCCGCTCCCTTCTCCCAGGCTTGGCTTCAGTCTTTTAGACTCCTCTCCTCCCAAGCAGCTCAGGGGGATGGGGATGGGAGTTAGTGACAGTCCACAAAAGCACCTCTCAGCTGCTCCCTCCTCTTCACACATTCCCTGCTCCAGTGCAGCTGCTTCCACAGGAGGCATTGATATTCCTCCAGGGAATATCCAACTGGGTACCTCCTGCCACACTTTGGTAATGTCAGCCTTCCCTCATTGTGTATCTCATGTTCAGAAACATCCCACACAGTCCTAAATATTTCCAGTGGGAAACTGATTTCCAATGGCTTTCCTGGCTTTTCTGATTAAGCCACCTAAAGCTGGGGAGATTATGCAGAGCTGCCTAGGGTGACATTTTCATATAATGGAATCATAGAATCATGGAATGCTTTTGGAAGAGCCCTTAAAGCCCATCTGATTCATGCCATGATGTGGGCAGGGACACCTTCCTCTAGACCAGGTTCCTCAGAGCTCCATGCAACCTGTCCCTGAACACTTCCAGCATCCAAAACCTTTCTGGGCAATGATGGCCATGCAGTCAAAACTCTCAGCAGAACCAGAGACATTCAGCTCCTGGAGGATGCTGGGCAGACATTTATTTCCTCATTGCCCAGTCAATTCTGCCTTGGATATCAAAACCACATGAAGATAACTCAGTACTGGTGACTTCATAACAAGGCTAGTTCCATCATTCATTATGTCCTTTGCCAAATGGACCAGGTGAAAGGACATAAAAGAAATAGGTCTTCATCCTATTTAAACCTTTCCCTGTTCATCCCCTAAATTTGGTAAATTCATTTGGATGGCAGAGATATTGTAGGGGTCACAAGTAGTTGTCTTCCTGTGTACCCACCAAACTGAACTGGTCAAAGTAAAAAATGCAAAGCAAAGTCAGAGAAAACTAAGGGACTCTCAGACTAAGGTCAAACTCTGAGACTGAAGGTTCAGATATAGAAAGAATCCAGAGACTTGCAAGTTCTGCACTATTAAGGATTGCAGCCAAAAGTGTAATTCATATTCGTTAGGTGACCAAGCATGTTTTAGTTCTTAATAAAAGAATGGCAATAAACAGTTATTAATAAATTATTTATTGTAGATTGTTTGGCACCTAATGCCAAAAATTCTGGCCTTCATAACACAATGGCATAAAGGAGTTCTGGTAGAATAATGGAATTAGATACATTCTTACTAAAGAAAGACTTTGGAGAATGGTCTTCTAGTCAAAAGACAAAAGAGGCTTCTAAATGTGCTTTTGTTGGTTCAGTTGTGCATATGAGTACATTGCAAATACTTGTACCTCAAGGTGCTCAGTTGAATTAATGGCAGAGGACAGAGATGTAGAGGACCTCAGCTCTCCCCAACACCTCAGGGATACTCATGGTAAAGAACACACATGGCAGTGAAAATGTCAAAGGCTCAAGCTGGTAGATTGAATTAAAATTACAGAGAAATATTAGTGCTCACAATTTATCAGTTTATTCTTTAAAAAAAATAATACTTTTTCTGAAAATATTTTCAGTGAGAGTTTCAGGCGAAATGTTAACAGCTCCAGAACAGGTAAATAACAGAGATAAATATCACAAGCAGTATATAAACAAAGAACAGCTTCACCTTGGGTGGTCAGAAAAACCCAAGAACATCCTTATTTGATTTTCACAAGAATGCTTATTGTCCAATTAAAATAAGCAACCTCCATAAAAGAAATGTAATAAAACCCAGTCCTGTTTTCTTGTTGCTGGTTGTTGAGTTGGGTATTTTTCTTGTTTTTAAGCCACATATCAATATTTACATCATTAGACAGTCAAATAGTATCCATTCCTCCTCAGAGTTTTCTCTAAGCCTTTTTAAGCAGGGAGGAATTGACAAACAGTGACTTTATAACCAAGCAAAACCAAAAATATGAAGGTTCTTGCTCTCCCACTGTAAAGCTAGATGTTACTCATAATAGCTTGTGCATTGTGAGGAGGGGTTTCCTGATCAAAACACAAGAAATCAAATACGTTATAAAATGCACTGCAAGATGCAGAGTCCCACACAATTTCTTCAGCAGCAAACACAGATGTATTCCCCACTTCCCCATCCCACTGTCCCACACCTCTTTGCTGTACCAGTCTGAGTGACACTGAGACTTAACATAAAATGAAGCCATGTTATTTTGAGCATAAATAAAACATTTTTTCAGTGCCTCCACAAAACCTCACACTGTTGGGTGACTGAGTACTGTCCTCAGTCCCTGCTAATGGACAGGACAAGGAGGGATAGCTTCAAACTTGAACAGGATATATTTCAGTCAGCTATTAGGAGGAAAGTCTTTACTCAGGGGGTGGTGAGGCCCTGGCACAGGTTGCCCAGAGAAGCTGTGGATGTCCCATCCCTTGAAATGTTCAAGGCCAGGTTGGATGTGGCCCTGAGCAACCTGTTCTAGTGGAAGGTGTTTATGCCCTGGCATGGGGTTGGAATGAGATGATGTTGAAGGTCCCTTCCAAACCAAACCCTTCTATGATTCTAACACGATGGTAGAAGGAAAATAGTTTTTTGGGATACTAACACCAGTAATCTATTCCAGTGAGGCACTCTGAGCTATAAACGACATAAATCATGCTGAGAAGCAACAAGTACACCTGACCATACAGTGTG